CAAGCAGCTAGAATGAATATGTAACGATTAAGAAGGAAATGGATAGCCTGATTAGAAAGTTAGTTAGTGAGAGTTAGAACCCGGTCAAGATAATTTTTTTGATGACGTATCAAGATTAATCTCTAATTTTACTAAAATATCTAATATACAAATGCATGCCATATAAATCTATACTATCTATACTACTATTATAAAAGGGGCTTGAGTTTCCTTCCTCCCGCAAATCTCGTTCATCCATTCTACTTATTTTTTAATTATCTTGGTCGTCCATTCTATTAAAAATATTTAATAAATAAAAAAATTCATATATAACTCTTCAAATTCTATCATTTATTATTTTTTATAAAACATTTATTTATTCATTTATTTACTACTATTATTATTCATTTATTTATGATTCCTTTGATTGTTTTTCTTAGCTTAGAGCTCTTCATATTGTTAGTTTATTTCATTTTCGTGCTTTTGATTTAACATCCAAACATTTATACAACTATAAAAAAGTGGTTTGAGATTCCACCAAAATGCAGTCCTAACCTTTTATTTTATTCATTAAAAAATTATCCTAACCCTTCATTTTATTTTATAATTTTAAAAATTTCATAAAAATCATTAATTTTAATATTTATTCTATTTAGTAAATTCTTAACCGTTATCTTAACACCTAAAAACATATAATATTTATGCAAATTAATGTTTATTATCATAAATTGATGCCTCTTAAATTTTATATATAAATGTGATTTGAGATTCCTACTATAAATAATCCTAATCTTATATTTACAAATCTATACTACTACTACAAAATACTGTTGAATTTCCTTTCATAGCAAATCCTGACATTCCATTTTAATTATTCAAATTAAATTCCAATCTTTCATTTCAATTATCTTAATTATAATTGATTAATAATTATATTTTTATTCATATCAAATATAGTGTATTAATTATTATAATGATATATTAATATATTTATAAATCTAAATAAATCTCCAACATTCATTTTAAACTCTTGATATTCTCTTATATTTTCGTTCCAATAGCTGAAAGATTTGACTCGGTTAAATCTATATCTATACTACTATTATAAAAGGGGCTTGAGTTTCCTTCCCCAAACAAATCTTGTTCATCAATTCTACTTATTTTTAAATTATCTTGACCATCTATTCTATTATAAATAATTAAAAAAATAAAAAAATTCACATTATATAAAACTCATTTAATTTTACCGTTCCTCTACCGTTCCTCAAGATTCCCTAAGTTCCGTTTCGTTTAATTAATTAATTTATTAATCTTAATTTGGTGGTTTTCAAATTACTCCGAAACTATTCTTATCTGCACCTTTAAATAAAACTCTTTTAATTTTACCGTCCCTCGATATTCCCTAAGCTCCATTTTGTTTAATTAATTAATTTATTAACCTTAATTTGGTGGTTTCAAATTGCTCCGAAACTATTCTTATTCTGCACCTTTTGCCATTTAATTACCGAAACTATTCTAATTCTGAACGTTTTATGCCATTTAATTACTTTTGCCATTTTATTCAAAGCTATTCTTGCAAGTCTAAACCTATACTAATATCGCGACGCTCCTTCTTCAACCAGTCCTCCATAGTCTTCGGCTTGCCCTAGCTGACTCAATTCGCCGTCAGGTAGGTTTCTCTCCAATTAATTAGGTCTTCTGAAATTCTTCAACGTCTTGCTGCCTCAGCTCGCCGTCATCTCCTCCGGTAGGTTTCTTTGCCTAAAATTCTTTAATGTTAGTTTCTCCCGGCATTTAATCACTGCTTTTTCATTTTATGTTTTCAACTTCTTAAACGTTTTAGGATTTCTTCTCCAATTAATTCGGTCTCCTGGAATTCTTCAACGTTTTTTCACTATTTGGATGCATGAAGATGAATTCAACCGTCGAAACGTTTCAACATCTGACCGTTCCGTGGCCGTAAGATGGCTGTGGCATGTTCTCTTTCTCACTTATATATTATTCTCACATGTTTTCCCTTTAACTCTTTCGTTTCTGGATCTCTACTATTTCTGCTTCAGCGAACCTGAGAATCTGGACACTATTTCAGCTTCAAATTTAGGTAATTAATTTTATGATTTAAATTGTTTATTAAGTTCATCTTTAGAAGTGAATATATTTCCCGTCATCTCCTTCCAGCAGATTTTGTTGTTGGCATATAAGATAAATTGGCATTTACCATGGTTGCAACAGCAATTGAGCAAGGTGAAGGGTTTTGGAAGTCTAGAATCACTGGAGAAGAAACTGGCTGGTCGGGATTAAGCATAGATGGAGGACCTTCTATTTGATGCTGATGGATATGATATAGTATTACGTGAAGTAGCTGCGAGCCAGTTTTTACAGTCACAAAGTAGTCATAGTCAAACTTGTCGTCAATAGTTCCAATCCCTGTGAAATTACAAGTACAATGGAAAAAATAAAACTAGATGACTGTCTTTTGTTTTGTTCACATTATTTAGTTTTGAAGTTGAGTCATAAAAAAAACATCCTAACATTCAAACAATGAAAAAATTAAAAAATTCAAAATAGATTAGAGCTTGATGACATGCTATGATGATGCTAACAAAAAAAAAACTTCTTATTCTTAGACTTAATAGGCTTAATTGCTTCTTTGAACTTGGGACATGTTTGGTTAGGGGCTTCAGATGGCAGATTAAGTGTTAAGTAGAATTGAGCAGTTAGGCTTACGAAAAAAATAAATTAATGTAAGTTTACATTAAACTAAAAAAAGTATTTAATTATAGTTTAGCTTAAACTCATTTTTTTAATTAAAGTTATATAACACTAAAGTTATATTTTACCTAACACTAAAGTTATAGTTTGCCTAATGCTTTTTCCATATCATATCACTTATCTCCCCCCATAATTTTTATATATAACTTTTTAGCATTGAATATATTTAGACAAATTCATGTTCTGCTTTATTTCATATATTTTTTTTTCTCATAACAAATATTTCACTTTTTTTTAGGATTATTTCTATAAATTGTCCACATCTAACATATCGAGGCTATGATTGTTCCTGCTTATTTATCATCTACTTCTTGCCTGAGATAAGTAATTTGTACTTTTCATTATTTTATTTTATGAAAATATAGAATTTTTGTGAAATTATACTTTTAATATTCTGTAATATTATTATTTATAATTCAGAGTTTTTTTTTTGTTGTTGTTGTTTTACATTATTTTTATTCCAACATTTATTTTCATGACTTTAAATTTTTCACATAATTTGTGTCTAACTTTATTATTGACATTTTTTGTTGATAATTTTTTATCATTCTCCTTAAAATCTTTTAATAGTTAAGAAGAAATGATAATGATCTGAGACTTCAATATTATTGAGATTGTACTAAAACTATGATTTGACACATCAATATTATTGAAATTGTACTAAAAATATATTTAATTTCTCATGCTATTACATAAATCATTCAATGAAAATCTTGAAATAATTTCCTCACAAACTTCAGCATTTCTTATTAAATTATAATAACATAAAAAATATTGTATATCGATAACATATTTCAAATATTTTTATCTAATCAATCTATTGATCTGGTAAATTTTTAAAGTGTCGATCATAAATGAACGCAACAGCCAATAAATTTTGACTAGGCTAAATTATGCTTTATTTCCTTGATAATTTCCATGTCTGTTTTCTACTTAATTTATTCCGTTTCGAACATTATGAATTCTAAATAATCTTCTAAAGCTAAAAGCTTTAACCCATCGTGTGGACCCTGAAATAAAGAATATAGATGCTATTATCATCATTCATTGACAATTCTTTTCTATGGAGGTTTTTAAATTGATGATATTTTTCATTTATGCAATAGGAATTGTAGTTTATCTTTTCTCTCATAATTTCGTTTATTTGCTTCTTCTTATTTGTACTATCGTTGTCTTGACCCAATGAAACCAAAGTAAATCCCATCTCTTATTTCAGTCACGAAGTATTTTTTTCCCCTCATGTCTGCTAGGGTTTTCGCTTTCGTGAACCCTAGCCGCCGTCTTCTCTCGCGCCGGTGAGATCGCGGCTTCCATGGCTAATAAACGTTTGGATCCTGGGTTTATTGAAGGTAAAGTAAATCCCATCTCTCACATTCAAACTCTTTCTACCTTCAAGATCTAGAACTGTCTTTCATATCTCCGTTTTTTACTTAATGTGTACTATACAAGTAATTTAAGTATCTTAATTTATAGATATTATCTATTTTATATTAAGATATTATCCTAGGTAAATCATAATGTTTCTCAAGATTCTTTTATGGATGATGATGAAGAGACTGTTGAGCAAGATGGAATGAGCCATAGACGGTCTAGCGCTTGCCAAGAAAACAAAAATTTTTATGATCTAAATCTGTAAATTGAAGTTGATTAGAAAAGGACCACTTTGACAATTTACTTAGATATTAAAGATGATGCTATGCTTGGTGCAATCTTGTGTTTATATTGATGATTTTTCTTTTCATTCACAAATTTCATAATTTGTTGGCTTTGTATTATTCGTGATGACAGAAATGCAGCTATCCAATCAATGGCTATCGTTCTTGATCACAAGATAATATGATAAGGTCATTCAGATATCCGATGAGTTTGGAATTTATATCCAAATTATCCTTCTATTGTTTTGAAATTTAATAAAATCATGTGTGGTGTATTGGTTTTATATGATGAGAAAAATTGAGATTTTCTATCTTGCAATAATACTCTTAATAAAATAAAATATAATTAAAATATTTTTACATATTTAATACTTAGGCTTTAATATATACTTTTTAATATTCTAGTGTAATAATTACCTCAAAGCAGTAAGAAAATCGTGCAAATGATGCCTTATTCAGTTATTCTTTATTAGAGGTTTTGTGTACAAAAATTATTAAAAAATAATAAAAAATTTAATTTCACTAATTTTAAAATAAAAAGAAACCATAGTTTTTGAAGAAAATTTGAGGAAAATTATGATATGTAAAATCAAATTTCAATCTTTAACATAAATTTCAATATTGCAACCCCATATTACCAAAATCCACCATATTTTACATTTATTACAAATCAAGCCAAGGCTCTAATAACTATAAAAATTGAACCTTTTTTTTAAATAACAATATAATGAAATAATTTTTCAATATAAATGATATAAGAAAAAAATTGCAGAAATAATCCACTTCAACTGACAACTGCAAAGAGCACAACAATGGCCAGCATTGTTCTTGCCCATCTTCCTTGTATAGCTATACTTCCATTCTGCAATCAAGAAAAACAGCCAAATAAAATAATTTTACTGTCATTTATAAAATATTTATCTCAAATGTGCTTATTAAAAAATTTGGCAATTTTAATTTGTGATTAGTATAGTATAAACTTTAGTTAAGGACTAATAATGATTAGTTAGAGAGAAGGTAATGATATACGTCATCTGGTTGCGGCGCTGGCGCCGTGATATCCTCGTCCGACGAAGAAGATAACGGCGGTGCTGGCGGACTTGGTGCCGCCGGCGCCGGTGCCGGTGCCTTCTTCTTCCTATGCCTTTTCTTCTTATGCTTTTTTCCTCCCTTCGGCGCCGGAGCCGGCGCCAACACCGGCGGAAGCACAGGTGCTGGTGCAGGCGCTTGCTTTGTTGGAGCTGGAGGCAATGCAGGCGGCGGCGTTTCCGGCGCTGGAACTGGTGGAGGAAGTGCTGGCGGCGGAGTTGCTGGTGGTGTGGCGGTTGTCGGTGGCGGGGGCAAGGGTGGTGGAGAGCTTGAAGTTGGAGGTGTTGCCGCGGGAGGTGTGGCTGTTGTTGGTGGCGGCGATGACGAGGGAGGTGGAGAGCTTGTAGCTGGTGGTGTCGCCACCGCAGGTGGGGTGGCCGTTGCCGGCGGAGGTTGAGCCGGTGAAAAGGCGGGGGCTTGAGCTTTGATGATGAGTATGTGATTAATTGAGAGAATGAGAAAGAGGGAAAGGAAGCTCAGTGAATCCATTGATTGAATGAGAAACAGATCGATGGCAACTGTGGTTATTATAGAAGAGTGGAAGAGAAGGGAGAGTAAGATTGAAGAAGAAGAAAGGTGGTTAAGTTTGGTTGGGACAGAGCTGATAAAATTGATTTTGGAACTACCATTTGAATTAAATTCATTCACTGTCATTGTTGCATTGCTTTAATATTATTGATTTGATTGTTAGTTTTAAACCAATTCATAAAGTTTTTGTAATTTTTATTTTGTTGAATACATAAAATAGTTTTGGCTTTCACTTCAAACACTCAATTTGTTTTGAGTTTGGTTACTGCAACAATTCAAGCTCTTAACTATTGAGATATTGTCTGCTTTGATCTAATGACCTTAAGGTTTTGCCCTGTTATTGTAATTCCCCAGGGGGTCAATGTTTAAGAATTTAGATTATTTTTAAATAAAGAGTTTCATAATTAAGCTCGCTCGAATATGATTCAAGTTCAAGTTGAGTCTGACTTGCTCGAGCTTGGCTAAAAATGCAGCGTGACTCTTTTACTTTCGAGCTAGCTTTTAGAGCTCATTTGGACGCAAAATTTCGATCATACATTTTATGAAATCAAGATTTGATGATTTCTACAATAATATTAAAAATTCCCAAATTTAATTTGATTTTTTTTTAAATTGCATGTTGATTCATCCTAAATCAAATTTATTTTGTGAGTCACATAGATTTAAATATTCAAAAATTATGTTCATTCATACCATTCATCTTAATTACTTCATTATTACATTTTAATTATGATCTTATGTTAGATCATTTGTCACATTTCATAGAAAATTATGATCATTAGGATGGAGGATTGGAGCCATTGCAGCTCAGATGTCTCCATTGTGATGAAATTTTGACTATTAATATAATTTGCTACAGCGATGTATGAGCTAAATTAAGATGCTAAATAACTTATAATTTTATTTGGTATCTACTTTGGTTAGATAAATCTTGAACTTGAAGATGCATGGATGTATAAATATTTTATCAAAAATATTTTCAATACACTATATTTATTTTGCTTGGCATTATTTATTATTATTATTTTGCAAAATAATCACTCTTTTAGACTTCATTTAGGACAATTTTCTTACTCCTTAAAGCAATTTTTAAATATAAAAATTATAATTTTTTAATAGAAAGCCACTTTAAGAAGCAATAAGAAAGTCATTCCAAATGAAGCCTTTGGCCTCATTTGGGACAGCTTTCTTACTGTTTCTCAAAACAACTTTTTAGTATAAAAATTAAAATGTTTATATTAAAAAGTTATTTTAAGAGGCAAGAAGAAAGCTGTCCCAAATGAAATCTCAACTCTGTAGATGTGTGATTAAAATTGAACGGTGAGGATTATAAAAATCAGTCAGATCAATCATTTTGTAACTATATTATGGCTATGCCAAATTGAATTGACTATTAATTGAGCAAGATTTTAGAGTAAATTAATCATTAACTAGTAATTTATTAAGTTAATTTAAATAATAGTTTCTATTAAGACAAATTAAAATAAGAATAATATCAATTTTTAAGGCAATGTATTTTTAATTAAATAACATTAATTATTAGCATTGATTTAAAATTCTAATTATTGTAACTAGAACTAATTTTCTTTATTTAATATTAATAGTTTTAAATAATATATTTATTTATAAATTTATGATATAAGTATTTATTTCACAGTTAATATAGTGCTCATAGCTTTAATTTAGAGCATTCAGTTTTAATTTAGTGACATATATGCTTACAGAATACCCATAATAACTATAATTCATATAACGACTCAGACAAAAACATGTAAAAAAATTCAAATATAAGCTTTAAGGGTCTAATTTAGTCTTCGTTTGGGACAGCTTTCTTATTGCTTCTTAAAACAGCTTTTTAGTACAAAAATTTTACTAAAAAACTATTTTAAAAAATAGTAAGAAAACAGTCCCAAACGAAACCAAAATGGCAAAAAAGCAAAAAACCCTCAATGGGATAGACAAAAATACTCAACGTTTAAAAAGAACTTCAACTAAGGTTTCGTTTGGGACAACTTTAGACAAATGCTTTTTCTCTATTTTCAAAAGATTTTTATGCTAAAAAACAGCTTTACAAAGCAATAAAAAAGTCATCCCAAACGAAACATAAAGTTTGATGTCATGAGTAAAGATCAAGCTTTTTGTATTGCCAACCATAAACTCATGTGTGCCCATCAACAAACTGAGTAAAAAAGTCCTTTATGGTTTAGTTTTCTTCTTTTTATTTATCTAAATTCTTCCACCAATTATGCTCTAAAAAATACAATTAAAATCAACCTTATGCATCTTACATGCATATCCCCATGTGATGCATTTATTCAAGTGGATATCCAAATATATTAATTCAATTATAATGATATGCAAATCAAAATAAAATGACATTCAATATAGATTTAAATTCAGATAAGTAAATATTTCCATTAAATTATATTAAAGAAGATGCATAAAGGCATTTTCAAGCTTAAAGTTTGATATCATTGGTGGAAGAATTTAGATAGAGAAAATAAAAGATTGTTGCGTCCTGGAATACTGGTGCCAATAGAGAAATATAAAGTTTAACATCATAGTTTTGTACAAATATCCATCATACAATCAGATAAAAGAGAGGGCGTATTGTTCATAAGAGACACCATAGTTTTTATGTGAAAACCCCTGAAAAGGGGAAAAAATCATGGGGCCTGACCCAGATTGAATGAATCTACTAATATTTACAGTTAATTACAAATGCGACCTTTCAAGGGGAAGACCTTGATTTAGTGCAGCAAAATGGCATCATGTATAGTGCATTACATGGTGGAATTGGAAGAATTAGTATTGACATGTTCGTTTAGTCGGTAGGACCATTGTCGACGGGCGACGGAGGTTGAAAAGACCATAGTCGGATGACGGCGGTCGGAACTCAGAAGGACCGTAGTCGACATGCGACAAAGGTCAGAAAGATTGTTGTCAGACAATGGAGGTAAGAATTAAGGACCGTAATTGGCGAGCAAAAATGGTCAGAAATACCATTGTCTAGCGATGGAGGTTGGAAGGACTATAGTCGGCAAGTGATAGATGTTGAAGGACCATAGTCAGGCGAAGGAGGTTAGAAGGACCGAAGTTGGTGATTGGCGAAGGTTAGAAAGATCGTGGTCTAGTGACGGAAGTTGGAAAGACCGTGATCTACCGATAAAAGTCGAAAGGGCCATAGTATAGTGACGGAGGTCGGAATGACCATAATCGGAAGGTGACAGTGCTCAAAAAGACTGTTGTCTGGCTACAAAAGTACAAAGGACCAACGACAATTGATGGCTCGGTATAAATCTAATGTCAGTTGGTGGCCGTGGGGGACCTTAGTTTAGTGTAGCAAATTGACATCATACAAAGTGCATTATATGGTGGGAATTTGAAGAATCAACATTGACATGTTTGTTTAGTCAACATGACCATTATTGGCGGGCGACGGAGGTGGGAAAGACTAGGGGTGTCAATATTAGATCCGACATGAACCTGATCCAAAAATTTTGGGTTTGGGTTGACCAGAACCTGAAGCTGGTCGGGTTCGGATCAGAAAAATGACCCGTTTGAAAAACTGGGTCGAGTTCATGTTGACCTGGAAACCCGGGAATGACTCAAAAAAACCCAAAAAAATCCCTACCAGTGTTACATTCCATACCTACCCAGCTTGCCCCTGCATGCCCCGGTCTGCCCACCTGCCCGCGTTCATCGAGCCAGCCGCACCATCGCATTTGCGTCGCATCGCGGCATCCCCTCACCTGCCCTGGCTGCCTTGCCTACCCCGCTATTGAACACTACTGCCTGCTTGCGGCTGTCGAACGTCGTTATGTCTGCTTGATGTTGCTGCCAAACGCTAGCTGTTGCAGCCTAAGTGGGTCGGTCGGGTTCGGATTCGAAAAACTGACCCGTATACAAAAATGGGTCGGGTTCGGGTTGACTCGAATAATGCCGAGTCAATTCCGAGTTCGACCCGTAACCCAATATTGACACCTCTAGAAAAGACCATAATTGGGTGACGGTGGTCGGAACTCGGAAGGACCATGGCCAGCACGTGACGGAGGTCGGAAATGTGATATCCCATGATCTAAATTGGAAGAATTATTTATTTATCATTTAAATAATCAACAACTAGAGCTATCTATTGTCATATATCAGTAATAAACAATACAACATATTTTATAATTCAAAACATCAATGTACATATATGTATTTTTTCCTAAAAATCATATAAACTACTCATGGTTATAACAAAAAAAAAGAACCTAAAGAATACTGATCAACCTCACACTTCTGCTCCCCTGTCCTAACTTGAAATCATTTAACTTCATATAATGAGCTTAAAAATCATAGCAGATCATCAAAACCTATAACTGAATTCAAAGCACGATAAAATCAGCAATATGCTTATCAACAGTCAAATCATAATAATTACATTCATATGATCATTGAATCAGTGTAGGAACAGTAAAACTCAAATGCAATAGCAGTATAATCTATAAGCAGTAAAACACTAATGTACATAAGATAATAAAGAAATAAATCATTACAAGTATCAAATCTAAAATGTAATCATCGTATTCGTAATATCAATAAGCAAAGAAATTAGACAAAGCATCAAATCAAAACATCAGTAAAGACCATTGAATTTAATGCTATAAAATCACACCAAATAGTATCAGTGTCTATATTAGTAACAATAACAATCTAGTGGTAGGAGTAGTAGAATAATGCAATAATAATAAATCTGTGTCGTAATAATAAATCTGTACAATAATAAGAATAATGCTTCAAAAATATGCATTTAAGTAATCATTCTAAACAAATAGAAGTCCTGGTTATTATGGTATTTTTCAATGTTAGTATTAGTGTTAGTAAATCGTTAGCTCAGTAAACAAAGTTGTCACTCTTTGCCCGTCAACACACTAGTAATCTCCTTATAACTCTCAATTAGTGTATCATATGAATTA